TTCTGCTGAAAAATTGAAATTCCTATCCAACAAATTGAATTTTCAGGGAACTCACAATAATACAGATCCTGCCTACTGTGTAATATGGCATTCTAAATGGGATGAATCGAAATCTTTAACCTAATTTGTCGACTCTAAGTATAACTTATATATTTGATTATTTTCCTGATATTGAAAACTCATAGTGTTCCTTCACTTTACTCTCTGATGCTAGTAAAATACTGTTCTTGAAAAATAACTTGAAATAAGCACAATTTTAAGTTTATAATTCTCAAGAATTCGCCTGTAATTTAAAAAGTGCTTGGGAATAATTATATTAAACTTCCCCCGTGTTCCAGAAAAGCCGATTCATCTTCAACTTAGGACTTAATTGGAACATTCAGTGACTGTATGAGTTATGACGAGTTATCGAATCACTACTCAAACGAATAGACGACGCATTATTTCATACCTACTCCTGTGATTACACGACTCGGCTAACGCCTTGTTTTGAGCAAACTTTAGACTCGTAATGGCCTTAACCCCGCTCGTAACATAAATAACTATTAGGTTGTCTAACCCACACAAACCTTCAATAAAATATCTTTTTTCGGTTCACTGTAAATGTATTTTGATTTGCTCTTGGTTGTTTCCAGGACTACACGTATCTTATTAGATTAAATTTTTGCCCTGCTCTACATGATATGACATTATACGCAAAAAATAATATTTTCTCAAAGCTTTATTGCGTATAAAAGCAAATATAACAATCCAATAAAGGTCAATGTATGTGTCATCTCTCCGTAGAAAAGCAGAGAAGCAAACAAAAATGGGCAGTTTTGTTATTCTTTGTTCGGTAAATGGATGAATGTTTACGGAAAAGCTGAAAGTTGCACTTCATGAAAAGAAGTCACTTCATTTTAAATTTATCTTTTGTAAACCTGAAACGATATTAGTTCATGTACTAGCTATCGTATTCTAAATTATTTCAAAAAACACATTTAATTACATAACAGAGAAATTGTACGCTAGGGGCGTATAACAAAAAATAAATTAACAGTATCTGCGTATTAAGAGATAAAATATACTCGTACATATAGACATAATATAACCAAGCCCGTATTATGTTTTTCACAGGTTCAACAAACCAGATCATTAACCGTTATAATTTGAACCGTAGTTAATTTGAAATACCTTACAAACATAAATCCCGATATTACATTTGGAATAGCTTCATTTTGGCTTTGTTCTACAAAATGTGGTCTTAAAGATAATTGAACAACGTATGATAAATATGTTGTTTTGTGTGTTTGGCGGAAAAGGGATAACATTTTCTTTTGTACAATATATCAGACTTGTTTTGGGAGTTTCTTTGGAGTATTTATTATTATTCAAAATGGAGTAACCAATTTTGAACCTTAATGGAAAATTATATTAATTACGCTCTCGCTTTGTTCGACGGTAAGCCCATAGTAACGTCCGATGTTTCGCTACTGTAAGTAAAGCTGTTTTAGACATGTATTTTATCAGGTAATCAAATTAAAAGTACCTAATTAATTTCACGTTCAGAGGCTTTCTTCACCGAAAACAATGCTCTGTATTCTATGAGTATGCTAGAAATAGCGCCGCCACCGTACGTTATTTTAGTTCGTGCTCATATTTCACAGACATAATAGCAACAACTTCCACATTACATATTATGAAGAAATTGTTCCCTAAAATGTACAAAGAATTAAATATTTTGAAATATGTAGCTGGATAATTTTTGTTAATTTTTATGGTCGATCAGTCACGTAACGTACATGGTAAAACAATTAACTATAGTTACTTTAACATGTATGTAAATAACTATGTAATGAATTCACTTTGAAGAAAACAATGCCCAAAACTACTTTTTTTAAAAAATCATTATATTGTTGTGTATACGATTTTGTGTATCAGTTGATTAACAATTTTAAAATTAAACTAAAATTTATAATATAATTTGATATTTTTACTTCCCGAGCGTAAGCTAAGGAAGCATAGTAATCGAGTCCATTGGCCGAATTGCCACTTTTATATTTTCTCGATGTGTCATGACCTCTAGAGTTCGAAAAAAATGGTGTCCCATTTCCGTCTGTCTGTCTGTCTGTCTGTCTGTCTGTCTGTATCCATTCTTATTAGACAAGTTTAGACTAACTAAAATTTAGCTAATCATCCCCACCACCAATAGGATGACGTCATCTCCAAAGCTTAAAATAAAAAGTTTTTTTAAATTTCATAAAATAAGATACTTCTGCACTTGTGGTGTGTGAATCCGTGTTGAATCTTCACCCTAGATAACCAGAATTTTTGGAAAAATTTCAAAACCGAATAATAATATTTTGCAATATAACTTTGAAACTGCGAAACGGATTGCTCTGATATCTTGTAAATATTTTAAGGTTACTGTAATCATGGCAAAATTTATTTGTTTATCCCCTCTCAAAAAAATGTTGACGTCATCTCAAAATTTTGCCGAATAAATCCTATCTAAATTGTGCAAAATATGATGAGTCTTGACTTGTGATTTATCACTGCATTAAAAGTGTTGAATTTCTTATACAGGGTGACTCATAAAAATTTATGAATGAGTCAATTTATTTTAAAGATTAAATCAGGAACAGCTCACTCTCGAAAATTTGGGAATAGAATACTGTTATCATTAGTATTACACTGCACGTTTCCAAAGTGATATAAGTGTATCTACAAAAATGTTGATGACGTCATCACAAAATTTTGTTAAGGGAAAACTCATTTGGAACGTACGTCCAGTACGGTTCTTTACATTTATTTTAACGTTCCATCCATATCTTTATTTTGACTTATAAGGATTTTCATAAAAAAAAAATTCCCATTATACAATTTTATAATTTTTCGAAAAATCTGGATTTGTTTTATTGTATTTCAGGGAAGTCCTGTCGAAATAACTTTCCACCAACTTTTTTATAATAATTTTTGGTTTTTACTACATATTTTCCTTCGAAATGCATTTTTACTTCCTAACCGTAAGTTAAAGAAATATAGTAATCGAGTCCATCAAGTGACATTACTACTTTCATGGTTTTTCGACGTTCATGACTTCTATAGTACGCAAAAAATGGTGTCCCGTTTCCTTGTGTCTCTCTGTCTGTCTGGCGTCTGTGTCGTTTTTTTTAGAGACGTAATTTCAGAAACTACTGGACCGATAGTTGTCAAATTTTGTATGTATATTAGCAATATCATACGGATGATTAAACGCTAACCAAAATTTGCCTAAGCATCCCCACCACCTTATTTGGTGACCTTATCTGCAAAATGTACAATAATATATATTTTATTTTATAAAATAAGATACTTCTACACTTGTGATGTGTGAATTCTTGTTGACATCCAGATTTTTAAAAAAATAAAAAAAAATCAAAATTGTAAAACAACATTTTGCAATTTAATCAAGATTTCTTAGTTTATCCTCTTCCAGAAAATTGATGACGTCATCTCAGACTTTTACCTAATAAATATTCTCTGAAATATGTATATAAAATATTATACTGTATATACTTGTGGTTTAGCAAAACACTCATACTTTTTAGAATTACTTGTACCGGGTGACTCAAAAAAATTAATGAATGAGACAATTTATTTTATTAATTAAAGAACGATTCACTCCAATCGATATACGTGTTTTTGTAAGGAAAAATTCACTTGAAACAAACACGTAGCACGTTTCGTCGATTCTTAACCCAAATCTAACATAAAAAAAAAATAAAATTCGCAAATCACAATTTTTCTTTTTCATTTTCTTTCATTTTTCAATTTCTCCATTTTTCAATGTTTCGGTTTCATAATTTTTTCTTTTTTCCACTTTAATTTTTTGAGTTTTCAATTTCTCAACTTCAATTTTTCGATTTGCAATTTTTCAATTTTGCAGTTCTTCGTTATTAAAATGTTTCATTTTTCAATTTTTAATATTTTCTTTTCCTCAATTTTTGAAGTTCTTGATTTTTATTTTTCATTTTTCCGATTTTTCAGTTTTCATTTTCCCGATTTTTCAGTTTTCATTTTCCCGATTTTATGTCACAATTTTTCGTTTTTTCATTTCCGCTATTTTTCAATGTTTCTTTCGACTTAATAATTTCTCGTTTATTCAATTTTTCAAAATTCCAAATCGAAAAACTAAAGAAACAAAAGAAGAATAATTGAAGAGTTGAAAAATTCAAGTCAAAAAAGTTGCGGGAGTGTTATTTACGCCACTGGTTTTTATTTTATACAAGGTTTCTATAAATGATTATACGCTCGCAGTAGGTCATATAAACGTGCCGCCTCTCAAATTTAACTGTACGGAGATCCGTACTAACTGCCCAAGGACGCATGACAAAGATCATACATGGACCACACGCATGTGTATAATTGGTTGCCTAAACGCTTCACATGTTTTTAAAAAAATAAAACTAATTCTTTACGATAAAAAGAAACAAATTTATAGCGGTTAAACATCACAGTAAATGTTGAAAATGTTCATCATTCTGTTCAAAACACATGCTCATTCTCTTTTTAATTTCAAAAATGTTCTGTAACATAATTTCGTCAATACTTTGGACCCGTTGTTCAATTGTTCAATTCTGCTCAAGTCGTCTCAAATCATCAACAATTCGAACAAATCTGTTGATTACATCTCCTATGTGGGCCTTTAGCGATGTTTCTTGAATTATTATATTAAATTACGGTATTTCGTCAGATATTCTTGCTTACAAGCGGTTACAGAATACACAAACTCTTCGTTTACGAACTCCCATTGCGATAACAAGACATAACGATGAAAGTGTCTTGTTCAACAAAATAAACCATTTTCACAGTCTTCGCTCTTAGTACAAAAACAAAATTTTCGTACGCAACCAGCAAGAGTTCTGAAAATGACTGTTTTGTTGTTTTGAGCTTCGATCAACAAGAATTACTGTACATCACACTTGAAAACCAATTTTTATATTAATGTTCGAATTCTGTAACTTCTGTTGTTGTTTCAGGAAAACTGCCATATGAAAAGGAACTAACAGCAAGTGTCAATTAAACGGTAAGCTCTAGTAACATAATACTTTGTGTTTTTGCTGTCTATTTTGAAAACAGAGTTACAATAACTGTTTACAGAGAAATTTCAGTCGACGGTATTGTTTAGAAAAATTCACTATGCGCTTTTAAAAAAACTTTAATAACGGAAACATCCGTCGATAGTATGTGTTCGTCTAACATTGTATCCATAAACAGAAAACGTCACTTTTAGTTAAACAAAACATCAATTTTCTTCTGTAAATACATTACGTGAAAATGGTTGTTTAACATTAAGGGGACAAATGGAAATGAAAAAGTACAAATTGAATGTGTTGCAATATAATAATGTTCCGCATATAAAAAAATATAAAACCATAAAACAAAAATTTAGCACTTGGTAGTGTTTCTTGAAAGTGTGCGTCACCGTTGAAACATGAATTTTGACGCATACAGATTACTCAAAGAAATGAAAAATATTTCCATATCCTACCCTAATCTGAAAAAGTTTTAATCAGGCGTTGGTAGTACACTTAATAATGAACTAAGAGAGCCAATTTTTTCAAAATTTGTACACAAAAAAGTACAGTTTAAATAAAGAAAAATCAGTTGACCTGTAAACTGACGTTATTGCAAACACCTTTTTAGAAAACAAAGAAGAGGCATTCCTAGATCGAGGGCAGCAGTTTTATTTAGCAAACGCAAAGACGAGAAGGATCTAGTTACAAGCCTTTGTAATATAACCTCGAAAATTTATTACTTTTTGAGTAAAAGTATCCAAAGCAAAGTCAACACGTACGTGTTCTTTCATTCGTTTTGTTGGAATCTCGAAGATCGATAAAAATACATTTTAAAGTAGTGTCATGATACTGCGGAAGGCTTCATTATAAATTGCGTAGACGGCGAATAAGCATTGAAGAGAGAATAAGAACGAGAATAACTCGAATTTACGCCAAGACAGGCCCTAAACGCTCCAACTTAAATATGAATAAAAGGGCGAAATGTTCAAGGTGAACGCGGCGACTTCATTTCTTTCCGGCTGGAGCCATCTGTGCAGGGTACACTTTCTTATATTGCACTCCAGGGAAAAATGTTTTTTTCTTTTCCAGATAAATCCTTCACTTCTAAATTATGCAAATACTTTTACATGAATTTGAATCGCTAACACAATTTTAAAATTATTATTTGATGTTTTCTTCTTCCTCCAAGAAAACAAACAGAGTCGCGTTAGTGAAGAGAAAAGTATATCTGTCTTTGTGGGTACGCCACTGACCACAGTCGAAATGTTTGATATTTGTATCAATATAAAACGAATTCATTTTACTCATGTTATAAAGTTCACCAAGAGATTCGCTTACAAACTTTGAGGCACAAAGTTCACTCGATCAGCTCTTTTGCCAAAAATTGTAACGAGTGTTTTTTGCAAGATGAGCATTATTGTGAACTGGGAATAAAAAAATACATAGTTTGCGGTGGAAACACAAAAACTCCTTTTATTAGAAGTTTCTGCAACGCTGTTTATTAGATGTTCCATATAAATTGCCACTAGCGAGAGAGTCTTTGTTTCAGCACTTGGAATAAAAATTTCTATATTGAATTCAGTCCAACAACACGAATTATTCCAAATGTACCCTGTCGCTTTTTCAACCTCACAGCAAACCACATGAGTATTTCACACTAGAATGATAATTCATTGTTATAATGAAATTCACAGTAAAGAATATTTTCACTGAATAGAATTTCTTGCAAGCACAGTTTGGAAAACTGTAATGATATTTCACCATGATTTGAAGTAAAAATGCCTAGGAAAGTAGTGGTGTGTTAGAATTCTGATTAAGCTTACTTCGAATCCTCATTTGTAACCAGAGTTGTTTCGTCCAAGTAGTTAATATCGCATTATTCCACTTTTCAGACATTATTTTGCGAGGTTTCGCAAGATGAATTTAATAACTTTGGAAAGTTATGCAAGAGACGGAGACTAATAACGATTAAAAGCTTTATGGGTAGTTACAGAAACTGAAGCCTCACAATCTTGTCCTGTCAACAGACTTAGCAACAATGTTTCAATCCGTCTCAAAATCCTTAATTGTACGAAACAAAGACACGGTGCTGAAATTTAAATAGATTGAGTTTAAATCTCTTTTAATTTCAGAAATTTATACTTGAGGAAAGTTCCGTGAGATTAGCAGCGGGTTTGCAACTCATCAAACATTGCATGAAACCCCCAATGCTACTACAAACTGGAAATTGGAAGCATTTTAATCATTGCGGTGTAAATAACATTGTCACAGAAATTTTAAATGAATATTAAATAAATCTGTCATCAATTTATCATTGCATTCGGAATGTTGGACCGCAAACGCTGCAGTGCCGGTTCTAGTTATTTTAATGAATAGCAAATAATCTGGTTACACATCAGAAGAAATATCGTTACTTGCTTGTTGTATTAACACATTTCCTGAATTTTTCCAAATTTTAAAACTGTATTAACAAATTGAATTAAATGAACAGCCTTAACATTTTCACAAAATTTCCTCGCATCTCATAAAAAAGTGAAATGAAAATTGCAATTTGTTTTAAATATTTTTGCACCAACATTTTCTTAATAATAAGGGGGGTGGTTACTAATTTTTACGCTTCCTAAGTAATAAATTTTATGCGATACTTAATCAGTGCGTTAAAATTTTTCAAGCGAAAATGATTCCGAAAATCGTTGCCAAATTTAAATTTAAAATACAAAGGTTTGAGCAAAAATTGCCCATTTGAGAGTGAAATTAAAATTTGTTGGTAAAAATTCAAATGTTTGATTAACTGATCAACCGATTAATCTGTTTAGTACGTCCAATTTTCTGCATAAAATACCTACCAAAGTACATTAATTCTTGCTTCAAAAAAAAAATTATACTCTAATAAATAAATGCCTACGTAAACATAATTTATTTTTCGAAATTCGGTCAAAGAAAAGAAAGAACCATTCGTAGTCAGTGATTGTTTTAATTATGTCTGTAACATATATGTTAAATTTAAATCTCTGTTAAGGTAATTTTAAAGTCCAGTGTAGAAAGTAAAGAAATATCCAAAACAAAGAACTCTTCGAAAATGCAGCCAAGAAGAAAGTTACTGAAAAACATAGAATACCTACTGAGTAGGAACTTTTAGATTTAAAGATTTCACTGTTTGCAGAGTACATATAATAAAATACCAGTAATTTTTTTTTTTTTTAATAAAATAAATAATGCAAACATGAAGAGAAATTATTTCTACAGTGACTCAAACAAATTGAATTAGAACTTTTTTAAATAGGTAGATAGATATTAAAAAAGTTTATACATTTTCTGTTTTGTACAGTTCTTACAGCTAATCAGGTGGCAGTTGGCAAAATGCTATAAGAAATAAATAAATAATGGAACATTTTTATAACTAATGTAATGGCAATGATCATTTCTACGCATTCAACTGATTACTCGAATTTGAATTTCTCTCATTCGTCTAAATCTTATATACATTAAAATATTCATTTACTCTTTTAACCTTATCATATTTTGTACACACCTTGATTAAACAAAGCAAAGCGAAACAAAACAATCCAATTTAATTATTTTTTTAACGTGGGTGGATTTAAAATTTCTTTCCATCTCGTTCGAGAAAAGCTTACTTACAAAAGAACAAAGATAGAGTGTAGGCGTAAATTTGTGAAACATAAAGCAATAACAATTTTAAACAATATGCCTAGTAAAGAAAACCCTTGAAGAAAGACAAACAAGAAAAACATTGAGCAAATACCACCAGCTCCTAAAATTACTTAACAATACAAAACAAGTACAAAATTTGCGTAAGCAGGGGATTTTTTATGTACACATAAACCAAAAGCGTTTTGCGCTCTCGACGCACGAATTGTTAGCAAACATCTTTAATTCCTGCTTATTCAGTCCGGTCTTGTTCTACGTCCATGTTTTGTTTCTACTATGCAAATTGAACACAAAGTTATTCAAATTTACTCAGATTATTACGTGTGTCTTTTATAGTGCAAATAATACAACCAAATTGATTAAACAAAGCTTTGTCGGTGGTCACTAATTACTACAAACTGCATAAGTTTGCTGGAGCTGGTCTAAAGGAGTTATTACAAAAACTGGTCAACGCTGCAGGGAACCTAATATGAGGTAGTGCTTCGATCAAGGGTGGTATTGAGGCAGCATTGTTCTGTGTCGAACGAGGAGACAAATGGAAATCAAACATAATTTTGGTTGGTAAATATTAACCTTAGATAACACATGCGATGTTAGCTTTCTATTACATTAATTTATCGTTATTAATTTAACAATAATATTAGCAAAACTGCGTTTCATATTTATCTTTCATATTGCTTTTTCCGGAATGTCGTAACTTCTAGATAACCCTTTAAAATTTGCCTATATATACTGGAAAAAAGATTTATGGGGGATAAGGGATGTGCGGTTAGTAATGTAAATTTTTAAATGTATGTAGCAAAGGTGTTACATTAATATAAAGTACTGAATCAGCTATAACAACTAACCGGTTTTCCCAACACTATCCACAACAGTTTTTCCCAAATTTTCAAAGGGTTCTTTTAAATCTTTATTTATGTTGTTGCATGGGTTTTTTCTCTTTCTGTAGTCTTCTTTGCATAATGCCCAAAAACGGGCAATTTAGTTAGAGTACTTGGAGAACACTTGCCCGTTCATTAGGGCGTCAACTCTTGTGATGATGATTTTCTTTTTATTTTTTGAAGAAATGTCAACTTAAGTTATTTCATTATTATTTCTTGACCATATGATACGTACCTACTTTATTTAAACGGAAGCTGCATTTTTAAATTAGTGAATTTATTGACTTTTCTACAAATTTTCATACTAGATCTGAAATAAATCACAAGAATGAACAGAAAATTATGAACTATTAGCTTTTACTTTTATTTCAATTTGATAATTGAATAAGGCAAGTAAGTAATTCGAAATATGAGAGGACAATTGGAAAACTGAGAAACAATTTTTAGCTCATTTTTAG